CTCTGCACGTGATTGGGCGGCCGGGGACCTCGAGGCCGCGTGCGGGGCGACGCGGGCGCCGACGAAGCGGTGCGGCGCCACGACTCCTCCTACGGCACCTTCGCCGGGGAGTTCTACGACCTGCGCTACCTGTCGGAGGAAGGTGAGGCTGGGAGGGTGCGGGGTGGCGGGAGGGGGACCCGGGTGGGGGACGGGACGGCGGCGGGAGCGAGGGTGGGCAGTTGGAAAGGACGCGAATGGAGGCAGCTCTAGCGCAGCCGAGGCGAGGCCGGGCAGAGAGCGCAGGGCTCAGACCCCATCCGCCTGGTGAAGGGGCCCGCAGAGCTGAGCTGTCCGCTTTACAGGTGGGGAGACTGAGGCCGGGCGAGGGAGGGTGCCCGCCGAGTCCTGCGAAGGTGCGGACAGGTGGGCTCAGCACCTGGCCTCCACCCTCTCGGTCAGGGGTCGGGAGTGTGGGGGGCGGGAGGGAGGGAGTTAGGCGGGAGGGCTGCCATCTGGCCTGGGCTGTGTGAGATTGGAGCAGCCGCGGAAAGCAGAAATCCAGACTTAAAAGAGATGCTGCCTTATTTCCTCCCCGCGAGTATTGACCTAGATTTGCAAAGGCAAGCGCCCTGACCGCTCAGTGTTGTGGTTCCCCACCCCCCCACCACCACCACCCCCGCCAGCGCTGGGTCACTGCTCCTTCCCTGCCTCCATCCCACTCCTTTTCTACCCGGCCTGTTAGGGTCCCCTGGTGTGAGCCACCATTGTGGGGGCCTGCTGGGCCTAGAGACTGGGGTTTGTCAGCCATAGACCTCCCCGTGGGGATGCTTCAGTGAGCACAAAGCCACTGATTCTGCTCAGAAGGAAGGGAAGGTGGCCTCTTTTTCCCTGCCATTTGGAAAGTAGTCATTTTCATTTTCTTCTGCTAAGAGGAATAGTAAAATAAATATATATATATATATTTAGGGTTTGAAATGTGTGTCCCAGCAACTAATATGCACTATATATATCTGTTGCTGAGGATTAGGTTTAGCTACCTACACCAAATAGAGATGAGTAGCTTAAATAAGATAGAAGTTTCTCTGTCATATACAGAAATCTGGAAGGAGGCAGTCCAGAACCGGTCATCAGAGACCCTGGGTCCTGGTGGTCTGCTTCTTCACAATTCCTAGCTTGTGACTTCATGGGCAGAAATGGCTGCATGATCTCCAGCCATTACATTCACTCTCCAGACAGTAGGAAAGAGGAAGTGGGAAGATCACTGACTATAAGGAGATTATGCCGAAGTCCCATATAACAATCCTACTTAGCCACACATTAGTCATGCGATCACTCATAGTTGCAAAGGAGGCTGGGATGTGTAGCCTTCTAGCCTGGAAGTAATAAGTCCAATTAAAAAATTGGAATTATTATATTAAGGAAGATGGAGAGAATGGATTTGGGAAAATGTATTAGTTGGGCAGAGGCTTAACTGCTGAAACAGAGTCCTCAATATACAGGGGCTTAAGTAAGATGGTTTGTCTCACATGAGTCAGGCTGGTCTGAGCTGGTGGGACAGCTCTGATCTACAAGGTCATTCATGGACTCAGGTTCCTTCCATCTGATTGCTCCATCATCTCCTAAGACTTTGTCCTCATCTGTGTGGAAGTTGAATTGCTTGCATGTCCTGTTCAAGCTTGAGGAAAGGAGAAGAAAGGAAGTTGGGGGCAAGCAGTTTCCTCTTAGGCTGGTTGTACAGATCACTACTGCTCACATTCCTTTGGTCAAGAACATAATTATATGACCTAGCTGCAAAGGAGGCTGGGAAATGTAGTCTTCTAGCTGGGTAGCCATGTGGCTAGGGAGGAGAGAATAGGGGGAAGGGAGGCCAGGGGAGCACAACAAACAGATGCAGAATCTGTTACTCTGGAAAAGAATAAATATCCCAAAGTCCATCTGCTTCTGAAAGCATCTAACACATATTTATTCTGTTCATAGTCAGCCTATCACACTGCTGGGTAACTCAGATGTGGCACATGAAAGTTTATATTCTCATGGGGCACATGGACCTAACAAATGAAGAACAAGGTCAGATGCTCTATGTCAGTTTGTATCTACAGAGAGAATGGTTAGTTGTGCAACCCAGACGGTTTTATGAACATGGACATCAGGTGGGCTGCAGCCATGTGAAGGCTTTATAGAGTGAGCTGGGAAGTATGAAAGACTTTGGTGAGACAGAAGAGGGAGGACATTTAGGTGAGGTGACTGCACAGGGGCAGCTGGACAAGCAATGTGTATACAGATCCCCAGTTTGCTTGCCCCTCTCACCCGTTCTGCATGTGCAGCCAGAAGTTTGAATAGGGTCTTAGGACTTGAATCTTACCAAGCATCCCTCTTTATCTTGAGGTTCTTAGCCAGAATCTATATAGTATTAGAACAACAGTAGAATGTAAAACAAATTACCACGATTATGGCTAAATAGCCCATTCTGGTTGTTCTCTCAAAAAAAAAAAAAAAACAACAAAAAAAACAACAACACACACACACAAAAACTGAGCTGGGTGTTGGCTTAGGGTTAAGTCCCAAGTAAAGCAAGCCTCCTGCTCTCTTCTCCCAGCTGCTGAGATCCACAGGCCAGGCCTGAGGAACAGACCCTGAGTCTTTCCACAGCCACACGGGTGATGGTAGCTGGCCTGCCCTTGGGGGCATGGCCTGTATAGGAAGGAAAAGGGGACAACACCATACTTGGTTGCTATCTTTCAGGCACGGTGACTTGTAAGACATGGCCCAGTCAATGAGCTCCTGACCACGAAGTTCAGACCACAATTTTTCCTATCTTGGGAAAGAGCTGGTGAGGCAGTAGAGAAAAGAGCAGGGCCTGGAAGGGCAGAGTTCCCTTCATCTGCTTATATTCTTCCTACATCGACTGCATATTGTATGCAGCTACATAATTCATCACCCTACACATAAACATTTGGGATGCAAATGTTACCTCCATGCTTTTCCCCTTTGAGATGCATAGACAGTTACTGTCTGAGAATAAAAAGACCACACACACACACACACACACACACACACACTTTTTCATTTATAGTATCTCTTCATTTGTTCTTTGGTTTGAACAAATATAGTATCACCTTGCTCGGTGAAAAAGAAAAAGGAAAAACACTGTATATATACTTTTTATGGGCAGGAGATAGCTTATGATCTCTGAATCTTTTACTGATAGAAAAATAAAACAAAGCACAAAAAAAGGTAAGTAATTTATAAAAATAATCTATATCTTTAAAGATAATCTATATCTAATTTATCTTTGTATCCACCATGAATCTTCTAGCCCAATAATAACACTAATTGGAGCTAATTGTTAGTAAGTGCTTCCTACTGTGCCAGGCACTGTTTTAAGTACCTTTTACTTATTAACTTTAATCTTTACAGCAATACTCTGACTTAGATACTACAGTTTTCTCCACTTTAGAGTGAAGAAAACTGACGCACAGAAAATTTAGATCTCTTAGCTAAAGTCACACAGCCAGGAAGCAGCAGAGAGCTGTACGGGATTGTTGACTGACTTTATGGAAAAGGTGTGCAAGCTGTCTGGCCTGCCTGGAACGGAGGGTCCCTCTTGACGTGCTAGGAAGTGCAGAGGGACAGGCGGGATGGGGTACTTTTAGGAGTGGACTGGAGAAGAGGGGCTTGGCATTGGTAGGGCGGCAGTGGAGAACCGCAGGTTGCTGAGTGGAGGAGTGCCTTGGCGAACGCTTTGCTAAACAGGCTCCGTGTGTGTGTGTGTGTGTGTGTGTGTGTGTGTGTGTGTGTGTGTGTGGAGCTTTCCATTTTCCGAAGTCCCAGGACAGCTTTCCTTCATGATGTGACTCTGCTGAGCGGAAAAACGACTCCAGAAAGAGACAGGTGCTGATGCAGTGGCTCTCAGAGATTTGAACAGATAATTTCTGGTTAAAATATCAAGGGCTCAAGGACTAAATTAATACCTGAGAGCTGTGATCCAAGCAGTTCATTAGAGGCGATAAATAGCAAACCAGAAGCCATTAACCACTCAGTGGAGGATGGCAAAACAGGCTCAAGGGATTACAGGAAAGGGATAGATGGTATCTGTGAATAAGACAGGGATGGAAACCACAAAACCATATTGAGAACCTGAAAAAAAAAAATCAACCACGAAAATAAGTACCTCTTGTATTACAGGAATATCTGAAGGGAGAAAAAGTGGCTTAATTGTTCTCCACAACAGAGTAGTTATTGGAAGGTTTTACAGGGCACATGTGAGAAGGAAAGGGGGGAGGTGCCCTAAACCAGTATTATTTGGTCTCAATCCAAGTTTTTATTTTAGTGAAAAAGAAAACAAATAGCACTAAGCCCAGCCAGTGGGCTAAGTGGTTGAGCATTGACCCATGAACCAAGAGGGGGTTCGATTCCCAGTCAGGGCACATGCTTGGCTTTCGGATTTGATCCCCAGTCGGAGGAGGAGGGGCATGCAGGAGGCAGCCAATTGATGATGTTTCTCATCTATGTTTCTATGTCTCTATCCTTCTCCCTTCCCCTCTCTCCAAAAATCAGTAAAAACATAAAAAAAAACAACTACCAAAATGGAGGGAAAGGAACAAGCAAAAACAAACAAACAAACCCCCAAACCAGTAGTGAAAAATGGGGGATGGACAATGTAAGGGGAGAAGGAAGAGTTGGCCGTGTCTGGGGGTTCTAACCCATGTATCTCAAGACCAAGGCAGACAAGTAAGTGTAGGAAAGAAAGAATGGTGGGGACCGGGGGGTGGGGGGAGCCAATAAAGGTCTTTAAACAGTATTGTGACAAGATCAGTTTCCCATTTTAGAAAGATGGCAGGTGGTGGGAGAAGTGGGAGGGAGGTGGGGGGATCGGACAGGCGATGGTACAGCATGAAAGGGCAGGCTCAGGTTTCTAGGGTGGGGATAGAAGAATGGTGGGTGAGTATATATAGCAGGTGGAGAAACCCAGGACTACGGTTTCAGGGTTGGAAGACTGGTGGGTGGTGGCATTCTTCACGGAGGTAGGAAACGTAGGAGGAAGAGCATTTGGGAGGTGGGGGAGCTCAGTTTTGGGCTATGGAATCGATGTGCTTGTGGAATATCCAGGTAGAAATGTCTGACGGTGGGGCAAAGGTGTAACAGCCACCCAAACGAGAAGGGTTCTTTAGACCGGCAGGCAACTTCATAGACTGTAACGGAATTTATTATAGGGCAATTTCCTTCCGGGAAGATTGAGCCACAGGGGACAGACGGCCCAGAACTTAGCACTAATTATTCTCTGCTACCGGACACCTGTTGCAGTACTTTTTGCAATAGTATAACTCAGGGACTAATGATTGACGAGACAAAGGGATGAAGAATGCAATAGCTCCCAGGGTCGTACCTCCTGGTGGTCTTGTGGTAGATGATTGCTTATAATCAATACTATTTCCAGTTGGCTATTTATCTCTGTTGTCATGCCATTCCAATTGTTACTAATAAAAATATTTATGGCTGCATTTTATGGAACACAGATAATCATCAACTAGAAGGCTTCGATATGCTTGCTAAGGACAGGGAGGTTTGTCAAAAGTCACAGCATAAAACTTAAAAATGAAATGAAATCCAGAACACACAAGGTACATACCCTTGACCAGAATCGAACCCAGAACCCTTCAGTCTGCAGGCCGATGCTCAACCACTGAGCCAAACCGGCTAGGGCTGGAACCTGAACTTTAGATCCAGGTTCTGCTGTAGGCACTTTTGGTAATGATCTTACCGGTTAGTCATGCTCGAGTTTTAGGATAATGGTCTTGGGAACATAAAAGACTTTTTGCAACCTAGCAGGATCTTAGATACTGGCACATAGTCCCAACTTATTTTATGCCAAATAGATAATTTAATTCCAGCAAAATTTGTAATGTTGTAAAATGTGCTTATATTCTGATGCCAACCCCAATGAGTACACTGAAGTTTACTTCTGGTATTAATGACCCAGAGTTATCACAAGTTAAAGGGGTGGCCCACAAAAAGACTGTCCTCAATTCAGACCAACTGGCTACCAATTCGGGGGCACCCACTAGAATGTCTCATAAAACTCAGGAAAGCACTGTACCTACAAATAGTATCGTTTTGTTATAAAGGAAACAACTCAGGAACAGCCTGTGTAGGCACATGTAGGGCGAGTCCAGGAGGCTCCCGAACGCAGTTTCCGAGCCTTCCTCGTGGAATCAGGGCCTGTCACCCTCCTGGGACAGCACCGTAGTGAGAAATAGAAGGAAGAACATTCAATGAAAAGGCTCAGCATAGTTTGTAGCATTCAGCAGTTCAATATAAAGAGAAAAACAAAAATCTCATCTAAGGCAGGCCTTGCCAAGGTATTAGGGGTGAGTTAATTAAATGTTTGACCAAATAGAGCAGGCTAATTTTTTAAGTTTTGTATGGCCCGCAAATGATGTTATAAATATCCAAACGGCCCTTGGCAGAAAAAAGGTTCCCCACCCCTGTCTAAAATGCACAACTGTGTGCCAGGAAAATGCAGTCCAGTGGCTTTTTTTTTCCTTAAAGGATAATAAATAGAACAAAATAAACAGAATCTCACTTAAAAAATTACAAATAAAAAAGAAACAACATCAAAATAATGAGAAAAGAAAAACTAATAAACAGTAATTTTTTAAAATGTGTATTTATTTTCCTAATGTGATAGGATGATTTTATTTATTCATTTGTCAATCATTTATTCAGTGGCCAGTGCTAGGCATGATGCTGGGCAGAGAATACAAGATGAATCACACTTGGTTCCTTCATACACCAAGGAAACAGTCTAGGACAGTGGTCGGCAAACTCATTAGTCAACAGAGCCAAATATCAACAGTACAACAATTGAAATTTCTTTTGAGAGCCACATTTTTTAAACTTAAACTATATAGGTAGGTACATTGTTATTGACTTAATTAGGGTACTCCTAAGGCTTAGGAAGAGCCACACTCAAGGGGCCAAAGAGCCGCATGTGGCTCTCGAGCTGCAGTTTGCCGACCACGGGTCTAGGAGAAAATTATTTTTGTTACAAACTGGAAGCATGATGCAGGCTTGCCCTTCAATGTACGGTTTAATGCATTATGATGCCAAGTAATGTTACAAGAAAAATACACAGCTGTTAGAAATGATGTGTGTAAAGAATTTAGTGAGATACGAAAATGTTGTATGCAGCTTAATGAAAAATGGAAGTTTACAGTGATGGAAAAATTCTATTATCACATATATAAATGGAAAACCTCTAGTACTGAATATATAAGTGGGTCATTGTTAATTTTTTAAGTATGTTTTCATTGATTTTAGAGAGAGGGAAAGGGAGAGGGAGAGACAGAATCATCGATGTGAGAGAGAAACATCAGTGGGTTGCCACACCCTGACTAGAGATCAAACCTGCAACCTGGGCACGTGCCCTGACCAGAAATCAAACCGGTGACCTTTAGGTGCACAGGATAATGCCCAACCAACTGAGCCACACCGGCCAGGGCTATTTTTTTTCCCTCTTAGAGCATGTCTAATTAAAACTGTGGTTTTTAAGCTCCCAGGTCACAATGGTGAGCCAGTGTTCATATGAAATTATGCCCCCTCTCAGGGCCTCAGTTTCCTTGCCTGTAAAATGAGGGAAAAGTCACTTATTCTCAGCTAACATGTAAGGCTCAGTTCAAAGATGTGTACCCTGCATTCTCCCCTCATGAAGAGGGTTATTAGGCTTACCCAGGGCCCTTTTCTGAGGCCTTATATCTATAGCTGGATGGGTGTGATAGAAAATAGTGAATGTACTTTTTTTAATTCTCATTGAAAAAGTTGTTACTGGACTTTCTAACCATTATTTATTCTCACTGTCCAGGTTACCCTTTCCCTACTGCTCCTCCTGTGGATCCATTTGCCAAAATCAAAGTGGATGACTGTGGTAAAACTAAGGGATGCTTTAGGTTGGTAGACCTGTGCATTGGATAACTCTAAGACTGAGACGTCGCTTTACTTCTCAGGATAGAATTGAAATTGCATGCAGTCCATTCTAACCAGGGGCCTATACCCCTTCAGACCTTCGGCAGGGATATGGCCTCTCTGATGGCCACCCCAGTTTTCAGTCTTCAAGGCCTGGGACACTGGAACATTCTTCATTTTGACTGTGCTGCCATTGGCACCAGTGTCTGTTCCTAACCAATTGGCTGTCTGAAGAAGAATCTGAAGAAGAATCACGTGACACAGAATATGTCCACATTTATTAGGGGGGGGCATGGCCAGGACAGACAATGATAAACATGTCTGATACCCAATTCCTTTTCAAATAAATAGTCATGGTGTATTGATATCTGTATGATACCAACTAGTCATTAAGCACTTGTTGTCTCGTGTGTTGAGGCCTTCCATGATTATTAATAGTATCCTATCATGACATGATGGGCTAGAGCTAGAAAACAGTAGTACAGACAGTGGGCCTCCCACAAAGATAGCTCTGTTTTGTTGGAAAACTTCCTTTGAATTTTTTATTTTCTGAAACAAATTGTCCTTAAGTAAAGATTTGTTTGATCACTGTTCTAAAGTTCTGATTTATATTTTTTGGTCCATTGCTCAAGATCTATGGGCGAGTGGGGGAGGGGGGGAATGAGACTGAATTATAGGGGTTTTGAGCTTTTCTTTGGATTACCAGAACATTCTAAGGAATAAAAATAATCCAATAATACTAATATTAAGGAAAATGGCCTTTAATGTATAATTCTGGTGACGAAGGGATATTTTTGAGAAGTGAAGGAATTTTAGTACCCTGCTGGCTTCAGGGTGACCTCCTTTCGGGCCCATTCACTCCTCCGTTAGCTGTCCTTAACCTTTTCCACCCAAGTTCCTTGCTGTCTGGAGCTTATATCTCACCCTGGCTGCTCAGAGTCCCTGCTGAGTCCTTGCCTCCCTCCTCCGTCAGCACTTAGTAGGTTTGTGTCTTGTTCCTCCAGGTACCTTCCACCTGAATTTAGATGGTCACACCCATTGCTACAACTCTCTGTCATCCTAAAAAGAATGTTCCTCAAACTAGGGCTTGTCAGTTCTGAAAGGACCCACAAGTCCTCTATAAGAAAATTTAAATTTCTGTTTTCAAAAAAGAAACAGACCATATACACAAAGAACAGACGTATGGCTGCCAGATGGGAAGGGAGTGGGTGAAAAGGTGAAGGGATTAAGGAGTACAAATTGGCAGTTACCAAATAGTCACAAGGATGTAAAGTGCAGCATAGGAAGTACAGTCAGTAATATTGTAATGACTGTAAGGTGCAGGCAGGTACTAGATTTGTCAGGGACATCACTTTGGAAGTTACATAACTAACCCTATTCTGTACACGGAAAACTAATATAATATCGAGTATCAATTGTAATTGAAAAAATTAATTTTTTAAAAACACTGCTCAGGTAAATTAAAAATAAATAAGTAAAATACATTTGTGTCTTTATGTCAATGGTGCTTCTTTAAAAGATCAATGTATGCATAATCTGATCTGTGGAGAAACACCTTATTCTGCTGTATGCTTTCATGTCTGAATTTGTAATTGTATGAGAACCTATACAGCAAAGGCAAATTTTATAAATAGGCGATGCATCCATGCTCAGTGAATACCAGATGAGGTGTTCGGTGGGTGCATTGTACATGCCAGGGTTTTGCGGCAATTCAGATAAAAGTGGGAGAGAGTGAGTCATGATTAATAGAACGTGCTCAGTTAAAAGACGCTGCACAGTACAGTCAGACACACCATATGTATGTGAGCAGAGTTTCACTTTAAGAGAAACCGCATCATCCATCACATGAACGCTGTCAGTTTAAATGTTCCTGGTTCTGTAGTTTATATATTTATATTTCATTTGCAACTTGGTGTTCATTTAATTGCAAAATTAAAGTAGAAAGAATTGGTACACAGTTAATTAACAAAAATAATTTAAATTATTAACTCGGAGAATTTTCTCATTTAAAAGGGATTCAGAAATAATTCAGTAATAACTAATATTTGAGAGATACTACTATAGTGTAGAGAACACTGGCTGGGAGTTTGGAGGCGCAGGTTCAAGTCCTGTTGCAGCTACTGACTCACTATGCAACCTTCCCATCTCTGGGCCCCTTTAATATGCAGATCAAGTGAAGCAGGTCATCTATGAGGTCCCTCCCAACTGAGTGGAACTGTTTTTTGAAGCAAAGATCTAATTTATTCAGTAATGTTGCTTAGCATCCTGCCTGATCCATCGATGTCCTCTTAATGTATTTTAAATAAGAATATGAAGGAGTCATGTCTTTTTTATTAAATTTATTGGGGGTAACACTAATTAATAGCATTACATAAGTTTCAGGTGTGCATTTTATAATTACCATCATATTCCAGTGTGTGCTCACCACTCAGAGTCTAACCTCTTTCCATCACCATATATTTGACCCCCGTTACCCTCTTGAGTAATGTCTGTTTTGATGTCTCATAGATACGGGAAACCAGGCTGCAATGCAGAGACCTGTGACTACTTCCTTAGCTACCGGATAATAGGGGCCGATGTGGAATTTGAGCTGAGTGCGGACACAGATGGCTGGGTAGCAGTTGGATTCTCTTCAGACAGGAAAATGGTGAGACACATCATGACAGAAGCTTATTTTTCTCTTTAGTTTGCTGTGTGACTTTAGAGTTTAGAGAATGGGCATGGTTAAGCTACCATTGCCACTTTTAAATGCAAGAAGCTAATTTCTGGCATTTGGTTGTCTTTTGCAAAGCATCACAAAGCAAAGAAACGCATCAAAGCAGTATAATGAGTATATTAGTGTGGCTCTCTGGTTCCAAGTTAAAATAAATTCAAGCTAGCTTAAACAACGAAGGAAGGGTTGGTTTTGAGAACACAAGATGTTTCATATCTGTTTATCAGCTATTTCCACAGACATCCTGCAGGGGAAGCCTCCAAAGCTACATGGTTTTTAATAGTAAGCATTTATTTGTTGCTCATGTGTGTGCATTGGCTGGGGCTCAGCTGGGCTTGGCTCCTGTCCATGTGTTGGATTTAGGTTGTTTTTTTTCCTAATCATTCTGCAACCAGCAACTACCAAGGCATGTTATTTTTGTGGCAGAGACAGGAGTGCAAGGGCAATCCAAACTTATTTCAACCTCTGCTCGTGTTACAGCTGCTAACACTCCATTGCCCAAAGCAGGTCACACAGCCAAACCCGAAGGAAGGGGCCGGGATATACACTCCCTCTACCAAGAGGCCCTGCAAAGGTCTGGGCGTATAACGACAGGGGGCTGAAGAATTGGGTCTGACAATTCAGTCTTCCACAGTTCTCCTGGGCGAGAACACATCTGGACCTCAGGAAGGACTGTGACCAGGCACAGGCAGGGCACCAGCAACCCAGGCCTTTGCTCCTCTCTATGCCTCTGCTGCCATCTTCCCTCCTTTCTCTGTAGCCCCATCATTTGCCACTTCACTGTGCCAGGACTTTCTTAGGCCTCTGTACCCTGGCGCATGCACTTCTCTTTCCCTGGCCTGTTTGAGATCCAGGCAGTGAGAGGAGGGCAGCTCAGACCAGGGTTACAGCAGGGGTGGTGGTGAGAGGTGCTCAGATTCTGGATACGTTTTGGAGGTCAGATAGGCTTCGCTAATGGATTAGACGTGGGATGTAGATGGGTGGTAGGAGGAAACGGAGAGGACGGTCTAGGCGGTCAGAGCTCCCGGGGCTTTTTGGTCTTGGAGAGGTCACCAGGAGAGGTGACCTCAATTCCCAGTCCAGGCAGTAAGACAACAGCGGGTCCCACTGGTAAGATTGTGCAAATATGAATCTACATCACTTATCACCTACTGGGGTGTCAATAGGTGAAACAGCAGTTGTGTGCCATACCGAGGGGCTGGCTCGGGTTGCAGCTGATTATTTCCTGTCCTGGGCTGCGTTTGCAGGCATGGTGCAGCTGTTAAGATGATGGGGCTCGGAGCTGGGAGGTTGAGTGAGGAGCATTCACATTTTATGTTTGACATTTTGCTCCCGGGTTCGATTCTGGTCAAGGGCATGTACATTACCAATTTCTCTTTTCTTCTATTATTTCAATAAGAAGCACAAGTTAATTTTTTTTTCAAACCCTGATACACAGGAAAAGCAAAATGGAACCCCTTTTAATAGCCTTTAACTTATTTTGAAATGGTGCATTATTTTTATTAGACTTTATTATTTTGTAATCTTCACCCAACTGAAGATCTTTTTCTCACTTTTATCCTCACCTGAGGATATGTTTATTGATGAGAGAGAGAGAGAGAGAGAGAGAGAGAGAGAGAAACATTGATGTGAGAGAGAAATATCAATCGGTCGCCTCCTGTACACTCCCTGAGTAGGGATTGAACACGTACCCTGGGTATGTGCTCTGACCAGGAATCAGACCTGCAACCTTTATGGTGTACAGGACAGGGCTCCAACCAAATAAGCCATTGGCCAGGGTTAGGGTTTATTTTTACAGCAGTTTTAGATTCACAGTAAAATTGAATAGCGGGTACAGAAAATTTTCATTGACATGCGCAGCCTCACCCATTATCAACATCCTGCACAAAGTAGAATATTTGTTAGAATTGATGAACACCTTAACATTTTTTTACTTATTTTGAAAAAATTTTAAACCTACAGACAAGCTGCAAGGATAGTACAATAGAAGAATCACCAATTGATAACTTTTTTATTGTGGTAAAATGTACATTACACAAAATCTACCATTTTAACCATTTTAAAGTATACAATTCAGTGGCATTAGTTATATTCACAGGGTGCAATCATTGCCACTGTCTAGTTCCAGAACTTCTTTACAAATGATAACAGTTGCCACACATGCTTTATCTCTCTACTGCTTCTACTGCTACTACTATTATTGTTACTATTCTCTGGAAACTTTGGAGATTAAATCCATTTACTTATTAAATTCAGGAAGTTTAACATTGATCTGATGGTATTATCCAATATACGGTCCATTTTCAAATGCTGCCAGTTGTCCCAATAATGTTCTTTATGGAAATTTTTATTTTATGACCCAGGATTCTGTCCAGGAACACCACACCATTGGTTGTCATGTATATTTCATCTTCTTTAATATTAAATATTTCCTTAGCCTTTTAAAAAAAATTTGGTCTTTTATGACTTTTTTTATGATTATAGGCCAATTTTTTCTTTTTAGAATGACCCTCAATTTGAATTTGTCTGATTGTATTTTTAAGATTAAATCCATTTACTTATTAAATTCAGGAAGTTTAACATTGATCTGATGGTATTATCCAATGTACGGTCCATTTTCAAATGCTGCCAGTTGTCCCAATAATGTTCTTTATGGAAATTTTTATTTTATGACCCAGGATTCTGTCCAGGAACACCACACCATTGGTTGTCATGTATATTTCATCTTCTTTAATATTAAATATTTCCTTAGCCTTTTAAAAAAAATTTGGTCTTTTATGACTTTTTTTATGATTATAGGCCAATTTTTTCTTTTTAGAATGACCCTCAATTTGAATTTGTCTGATTGTATTTTTAATGATTAGTTTCTGTGTTTTTGGCAAGAATACTGTATACCTGGTGACATATTCCTTTCTCAATTCATATCAGGAGGCATTTGATGTCAGCCATTGTGATGTTAACTTTGGTCAGTTAAGTGAAAGCTTTTTAATGGCATTTAAAATAATTTTGGGGGTGGGATTTCAAATGACAGAGGTAATGGAATATCCATTTCTCAGTGAAATTTCTGTATTATTTTTTGTTAATCCTCATCCGAGGACATTTTTCCATTGATTTTTAGAGAATGGAAGGGAGCGGGAGAGACAGAGAGAGAGAAACGTCAATGTGAGAGAGACACATCCATTGGTTGCCTTCCACAAGAGCCCTGACCAGGGCTGGGGATCAAGCCTGCAACTGAGATACGTCCCCTTGACCAGATTCGAACCCAGGACCTTTCAGTCCACAGGCCAACGCTCTATCCACTGAGCCAAACAGCTGGGGCTGAAATTTTTTTTTTTTTAGTAGAGAAATTTGCAAAAGGCTGACTTTTTTCTTCATTATTTTCCATGTCAGGGTGGTGACGATGTCATGGCCTGCGTCCATGATGACAATGGCAGGGTCCGCATACAGCACTTCTACAACGTAGGCCAGTGGGCAAAGGAGATCCAGAGGAATCCTGCCAGAGATGAAGAAGGAGTGTATGAGAACAATCGAGTCACCTGCAGATTTAAACGCCCTGTGAATGTTCCCAGAGATGAAACGATTGTCGACCTGCATTTGAGTTGGTATTATCTGTTTGCTTGGGGCCCAGCCATTCAGGGTAAGCTTGCATTTTGGCATCTGGATTAAACATTAGACACCGCTGTCCTGGTGTTCGTTATTTATTGGGCAAGAGAGTGATAAGCACTTGGGATAATATTGTAAAAAAGGAGATATGATCCTGCCTTCAGGTCATAATGGATTTATCATTCACACGGACATGCAAATGGGTAAGGTATACACATGCGTAGCTTGAATAATACAAGATAACATATGATGAGTTAAGTGCTGAATGAAACAGATCACCTGACTACTATTTGTGGGGTGTGGCTGTGTTTAATTCTCACCTGCTCCCATTTATTCCTCACCACATCCTTGAGAAGTAAAGGCATTATATTCGGATTCTCTAGAGACTAAGAAACTTGCTCAGGGCACTACCACTAACTAATGGAAAACTAATATTCAATCCTAGGTCTGCCTGGCTCCAAAGTCAGTGATAACTCTTAGCCCTTATGCTCTAAATACAAACAAACACTGAGCAGGAAAGGGTTTCTGCAGACTTCGCTAGAGATTGACAGGCATTTCAGTGTGCTCACTTTATCCTGATGGTCATAAATCCACCAAATGGTCACAGATCCACCAAATTATCCTATAATTTAGCCCATTACTCCTCACATTTTAACTTGCGTAGACATCACCTGCCTTTATCGTTAAAATGCAATTCAGTGGCCTGGGATTCTGCATTTCTAACAAGCTCCTCATGGATTTGGTCCATTGCTGACCTTCCTTTGGGGGACGAGGCTCTTCCAGCATCTCCCCAACAAAGACCCGAGGATGTCATGAGACCTTTTAGCAGCTCTAAAACCAAGTCACGCTGTGTCTTCAGCATTTCCCGGCTGATCAGCCTAATGGGCTGAGAAGCCTGGGCGCGACTTGTCTGCAGTGTTTGTGTGAGAACTCTTCTGGCTCCTGGGAGTTGGGTCTTCCTTAACTGTGTGCCTATCAACTCTATATTGCCCAGTCTGATCTGCCTCCCCCTGTCCCCCTTCAAATTGTTTCCATTGATTGGTCTGGAGCGTTCATAAATTTGTTTTTCTGTTTCTAATTGAAAAAACATTGGGATGCCTTCAGATAGATTTTGGGACAATTCTCCCATTTGCGTATGTCCAGATTACCAACAGTGGATCTGCAATTATGTCTCCAATACTTTCAGTAACCTGGGAAATTACTGATATCTTAGCCTGGAGAAAGGAACTCATTTCAAATGATGGCATTTGGCGTCTAAAACGTTGGGTTTGTGCATTGGTTTTGCCCCTTGGTGGCTGTATCTAGCCTTTATCTAAATTCTGAACTCCAATTTCTTTATATCTAAAATGGGGATAATAATAATTTCGACTTTATAGAATTATTGTAAGGATTAGATGAAAACAACTGGAAATCTTCTCACACATTTGGCATAACAGCCAGCATGGCAGGCCTTCCTGCCTTGCCTGGTAAGATCACTCAGGACTTCTGTTCTTCTCACTGTCTCCAAACAAAACAGGCCCATTCCTACCCCACAGCCAGGCATGTGCTTTTCCTGTCTCTTGAAGGCCCTCTTAACACTTCTCTATCTTTTTTAAAAAAATTTTAATTTATTGATTTCAGAGAGGAAGAGAGAGGGAGAGACAGATAGAAACATCAATGATGAGAGAGAATCATTTATCAGTTGTCTCCTGCACACCCTCTACCAGGGATCGAGCCAGCAACCTGGGCATGTGCCCTTGGCCGGAATCGAACCTGGGATCCTTTAGTCCGCAGGCCGACGCTCTATCCACTGAGCCAAACCAGCTAGGGCCTAACACCTTTCTATTGATGAAAACTTTTCATGCTCTAAGGTCTCTCAGTGGTGATAAACTCTGAACTAAGGTTTGAAGAGGGGCATGGGTTAGAGTTCTCTAAGGAAGGCATGAGCTAGAACTGCTTGGTTAAGCCTAGGAGTCTGCAGGGGACCCCCAAGTGACGTCAGGTAGGGGAGGTGAAGGATCTGCTGAGAAAAATCTTGTGCCAACCTGAGGAGTTTGATTTGTGCTAACAGGAGCCAGCATGGACACTGGAGCAGGGACGTGACATGTCAAGTTCAGTGCAGCTTCCCTGGCAGATAGGACCTTTAAGACACTCACTCTGAGCCCTGTTTCCAAGGAGACCTTTGCTCTGAACTCATCTGCCTTCGTCTCCCTAACCCAGGTTTCATAGGGATTATCCATAGGGTTTACATGCACATGGATTTCATATGGGTTAGGAGGTCAGGCACTTCTAATCAGCTTATGAAGTAGCCTTTAACACAGCCTTTTCCTCTTTCCACTTCTAACCAGGTCAAAAACAAGCTTTCTGTTCAAATATTTGTTTGGGCCCTGACCAGTGTTGTTCTATGGTTAGAGTGCTGGCCTACTCACCAAAGGGTCGTGGGTTTGATTTCCAGTCAAGGGCATGCACCTGGGTTGCAGGTTCAATTCCCCGGCCCCAGTCAGAGCACATGTAGGAGGCAGCCAAATGATGTCTTTCTCACATTGATGTTTTTCTCTCTCTCTCTCTCTCTCTCTCTCTCTCTCTCTCTCTCTCTCTCTCCCTCTCTCTCTCTCTTTCCCCCTTCCTAAAAGTATCCTCAAATGAGGATTAACAAAAAACATTTATTTGGCATTTTAATCCTCCTATGTCCTGTACCATTCCATCCAAGTTGGGCAAGCTACCACTTTATGTCCCACAGACAAAGTGAGAGAGGCTTCCGTCTGTAAGGGAGTCCAGTGTATTCAGGGGTTGTAAATAATTCATATACAAAATACATATTTGAGGAAAACAATTAGTAGCTCTTGCTCTTTGAAAGCATAGTATGGTTTTCCATTTGGTATTAATAAGATAAAACTCATTAGAGACCTTAAAAGTAAGCATTCATACAATACTAAGTAGCAGACTTAAAACTGGGGTGCTGTGGAGAGACCCATAGCATTATTCTGGTAGTGGGTGTGCAGATTCACGAGAACTTGTCTTTTTGGATAAATTTAACTAATTTCTGTGTTCTTCATTATATGTACAATTGTAGGGAATGCTGAGCGTTCTGATACCTGATTCCAGATCTTTATAATCACTGCTTATGTATTCAACACAAAAGATTTTTGTTTTGTTTTTCTGTTGTTAGAATATATCAATTTAAATATGTGCTTTTCTTTAATTGCCCCTTCCTTTTCATTTCTGTTTTAAAGGCTCTATCACCCGACACGATATAGACTCACCACCTACTTCTGAGCGTGTTGTCAGTATTTACAAGTATGAAGACATTTTTATGCCATCAGCTGCCTACCAGACCTTCTCCTCTCCATTTTGTTTGCTTCTCATTGTTGCCCTGACTTTCTACTTATTGATGGGAACCCCTTAATCGCAGCTGCAAAGCCAACACATTCAATGGATTAGAAAGTCTTCAGTATATATATATTTTTAAAGAATATGTAGTATAATTTTAGCTTCTATTATTTTAAAAAAAAGACTCATGCTTTCAGCTTTTTGGAAGAAAAAGCAAACTTCTTTTCTAATCAAAGAGGATTGTTTAATAATGACCCCATACTTTTGGAAAATACTTAAAACTTTTCTAAGTTTTCATATTTGAGCTTCACAATATCTCTGAGTTGGTTTGATGAATATTATTATTGCCTTCTTACTGAATGGGGTTTGAGACCCAGAAGGCTGCCTTTTTGTGATTTGGTCAGATAACAGGTAGCAAGGTAGATAAAGAGCTAGGCATGGGATCATGTCCCTAAAGCACCTCTCCTCTTCCAGCCACAGCTCAGGAGACTTACTTGGAATATTACTAAAAAGAACTTCGCTGGATAGACATAGTTCACAGTCAGCCTTTTAGGCAGAAGAACTTTCAAATTTCCATAAAGCTTAAGTGCGTTTGGATAATTACACCGCTGATGGGAAGAATGGGGGAGATTACAATGATATGAAAATGGTTCATATTTCTTTGAAATTTCTTCTCAATTAGTGAGTAGCTATGAGAAACCATTTTTTTTATTGCTGTTGGAAAGCTTAGAAACAGAGTTGACTGATCCTGAAGATGAAAATTATGTTAATGATAGAAAATATGGGCATTGTTAGCAGTTAGAATTTGACCACTGTTTTATAAATTAAGGTACTCATCTGTGGTTACAGCCTATTCTGTTGCCAGAGTAACATACACTGAGAATGATTACCAGTAAACAGTAATATAACAGACAAATCATCTTAATAAAAATTTAAAGCATTTGGACAATAACGCAACATTTTGCAGATTGTGGAATTTGGCATAGAAACTTTTTTAAGATGAGATTTTTTTATTAGAAAACTAGAGGCCCAGTGCACGAAATTTGTGCAAGGGGATTGGCCCTCGCAGCCCCAGCTTCATCCGGAAGGTCCTCCAGAAGGACGTCTGGTCTAATTAGCATATTAAGCTTTTTTATTATAGATAACAAATGACCCATAAAGTGAATTCACCTAGATCAGTGGTCGGCAAACTGCGGCTCGAGAGCCACATGCGGCTCTTTGGCCCCTTGAGTGTGGCTCTTCCACAAAATACCGACTTCTGCGCATGGGCCATGAAGTTTCAATCGCACTGTACATGCGCGCCCGCACGTGGTATTTTGTGGAAGAGCCACACTCAAGGGGCCAAAGAGCCGCAGTTTGCCGACCACTGACCTAAATTATTCATTCAGAATTGTGAATTGGGTTGGCAGTCAGCATAATTTATAATAATGCTTTGACTTAATGGAATTCCTTTTTTAAAAACGCAAAGTTTCCTTTGTTCCAAATGTCTGTGTTAGCAGCACATTTAGAAGAGAAGAATCTGTGAATGTGGTTCTGCGGCTGAGGCATTTCCATTGGAGAGCTCTGGAGTCCTCTGGCTTGCCTCGTTGCTTTAAAGCTGGTTCCAACTTTGTGGGTTTTTTGATTAAACAACACTGGAGACTGTGGTTTCTAGTGCCATCCTTGGAATTCATGACAGAGGCCAGAGTCCGCCTTTGGAGAGAGCTTTCAAATTCTGAGCTGAACAGAAAGAAGAAAAACATCGAGATTTCTGTGACATTGCACAGTTCACCAAGCTCATCTGAGAGATGTAGGGGAAATAATCCTCGTTGTAGGTGGGGAGTGGTTAAACGACATCAAGTGAGCAAAGGAACTGTGTAGGATTTATGTGGCTTAAGTCCCTGGTTCCACCTGACTACCACTGCCTAACTAAGCCCTCTGGTCTTGGCCGAGGCTGAGTTGTACGCCACCTTCTCAGCTATACTGGTTGTTGAGCAGTGAAGATACTGAGTATGCAGGCACCCACCTTGTAAATAAGAGAGCCAATATTTTTCTGTTTCATTCTCTTATGTGTATTATATCTCAGCTATAAATAGGTTAAAACTAAAGAGGTACTTTAGCTAGTCTCTGTAGCTGGCAGGGAAGCAATCAATTAATGGATTTCCCTTCTGCTTACATTTCAAGTCAAGCTAATTTCACAAATTGGTTCTACCAGTTTTCACCAATTGATTACCAGTTTTGCACATTTGTGCTTAGAACCTTCCATGATTTCTCACTGCCGTTCGTGTAAAATGCAGGCCACTTTGATCACCTCCAGTATCTTCTTTTGTCACCACTCCTCACTTGCTATGACCCAGCTCTCAGTTCTTCAGACCTGCTTTCTTACCTCTCATGTTCCCTGTGCCCAAACATTCTCCATCCACTTCCTGTGCTTGCTGAACACCTGTTCATCTTTCAGGCCACAGATGAAATATTTCTTCTTCCAACCCCCTGGACCAGGTAGATTTAGGTCCCGGCCAAGTGCTCCTATAGCACACTGGGCTTCCTCATCACACTTTACTGTAATTGCTGACTCCTCCTCCCTATGCAGGGGTAAGCATTTCTTGTTACTCATCATTGTAATACACACTACTACATGGTAGATACTCAACAAACATTTGTTGAAGGAATAAATAAACTTCTGTGGCAAGTTTCTTTGGATCAGAAGACTTGTATTTCATATACATTGTCAAACTGGCTAACATTTTTATATTCTTCCACCTGTGATCAAACCGTAAGCCATTTCATTAGCAAACACTGAACTCTGTCTTTTGAAACATAGATAGAAAGATGGTTAGTAATAATGCTGTTTTGCCCTGCAAACATAGTTGACATTCTTACCAATGATCATTGTTTAGAAATAAGAATTCACAGAGCTGGGTTGGAGAACAGCATTTAACATCATCTCAGAGAGTCATCAATTTATAGACACACGGGAGTTAAACTCTGTGGACTCCAAGTTCATTCATTCTTACCTAATGTAAGAGAATCAACTTCTATTTTACCTCTGCATTCAACTTTCTAACATAGTACTTGGTACAGAGGAGATACCCACCTCTGTTTTTGTAGAATAATCTAGCTATTTGTATTCGGTGTTGTTCTAAGCACTCTGTGTGGATTAACACATTTAATCCTCACAACAACCATAGGAAATAGATTCTATCAATCCAATTATACAGATGAAAAAACTGAGGCTAGTCATTTGGCACAAATTACCTGTGCTGGCAAGGACTTTAGAGACCATTTAATCCAATGCACTTATTTTACAAAGGGGCAGCTAAGGCCTAGGGAGGTGGTAGTATTTCCTACCCATTCATGCCTTCATGCACATACATTAAAACTTTTATTAAGTGGAACCCACTAGTCACACTCAAATTAGCTAGGTACTTTGCCCCCCTCCCCTTTTAGTAATTTACAATTACTAAAAAAGGACTTTTTATACTTATATTTGGGGGGAAAGGTACATTTTACTTTCTACCAGCTTTTATTTTTAAATTTATCTTTATTGTTGAAAGTATTACAAATGCCCCCTTTGTTTGTTTTCTACCAGCTTTTTTTCTTCTTAAAAATATTTTGATTATTTTGACAGTCATTTTTAGAGCCTTTAATAGTGTTTTTTAATTAATACACAGATTGGACAAGAGTAGAATGTATTTGTCTTGGTTAATTTTTAAAAGTGGCTTGCCTAAAACCCAGGTCTTCTAACTTGGAGTCTAATGCCCTTTCGTTGCTCCCCAGTCATCTCAAAGGTGAATTAGTAAACATGATTTCAGACAAAATGCAGGAGCCATGTTTAACTGTCTTAAGTTGGCTTTTGTCATGAAGCAAATCAGGAAGTTTGGACAACTCAGGGGTGGATTTCCATCCCAAGGGGTTTTTACTACTATTTCTGTGATTACTGTCTACATAAAGGATCTGTGTTTGAGAGAGATGACCACAGAGGTTATGTATCGTTCTTAGCTCTAGCATAGGGCTCAGCAAGCTTATTCTATAAAGGGCCGGATGGAAAAGATTTTAGGCTTTGCACGCACTCTCCGTTTCAACTGTTCAACTCTGTCATAGACCGTGCATCAACCAATGAACATGGATGGCTGTGTTTCCATAAACCTTAGTTGACACTGAAATTGGAATTTCACCTAATTTTTACATGTCACAGATATTCTTCTTTAGATTACAAAAACATCTAACCCTAGCTGGTTTGGCTCAGTGGATAGAGTATTGGCCCGCAAACTGAGGGGTCACAGATTTGATTCCAGTCAAAGGCACGTACCTCAGTTGCAGGCTCCATCCCAAGCCTTGGTCGGGGTGCATGCGGGAGGCAACCAATGAATGTGTCTCTCTCACATCAATGTTTCTCCATCTCCCCCCTCCCTTCCACTCTCTCTAAAAATCAATGGAAAAATGTCCTCGGGTGCGGATAAACAACAACAAAAACATCTAAAAATGTAAACACCATTCTTAGTTTGCAAAAATAGGCAGCAGGTTGGGTTTGGCCTGTGAACTGTAGGTTTCCCTTGCTCTCAGCCAGGAGACACGCCTATGTGTCAGGATCAGTTGTCAAGTACACTGCTGGTAATGCATTACTGGTGAATTGCAAAAACATTGAAGTTAGTAATTTGTTTATAAAATATAGTTGATGAATTGTTATCCTGATAATGGCATTCCCAGGCACTTACATTCTGATAGATTTCCCAGAGTTGATGCCAAAGTGGTGGCAGTTAAGTCAGCGCTAGGTAAGCAGCCGTTTTATTTTACCTAAACCGTGGCAGCCGTGAATAACTTTCACTGATGAATGGCTCTTCATGGTGGGGATTACCATGTTTCAGAGTAATTTATTTCCCTGAGACATTTTTTTTAAGTTTTCTCAAAATCTGCTGCAGTTGCCAGAATGTTTTACACATGTGACAGTGTCATCTACCTTATGTATCATGATGGAAAAATGTTTGAGAGCCACCACAATAGGCCCAAGGCTGAGATGTGTATACTTGGTTGTATATAAATGTATGTCTTTTTGTTCTCTAAACAGAATTGGTTATGTTCAGTGAACAGGTTGATTATTCTCGGTGTTTGTATATAGATCTGTACATACAAGATGAGGTCTGTGTGTGT